GATATATATATAAAAAATTAAATTGTGCATGATAGGATGATGTTTAATAGCCTCCCCAGCATATATCCACTAGATACCAGTACAATCCTTCCCATTTTATTTAGTAGTACACTACTGTAAATATACCAACAAGTGATTTTACTTTTCAAAACCAGGATTTTTATTAATTTTTCTATTACTTGAGATAAACAAAACAGGTATTAAAGAGTCAGTGTCACAGTGCAACAATGAATGAGAACCCAAAATCTCTGTAAATGTTCATGAAAACTAATAAAATTTAATAATAATTAAAAAAAAAGAGTCAGTGTCTACATAACAAATTCTACTACTGTACTATACTATCAAACAAAACAGGCGATGACACTGAACAACAACCACCACCGTAAATACAGTGGCAAGTAATTTTACTTTTCAAAATCTGGATTTCTATTATTTTTTCTATTACTTGAGATAAACAAAACAGGTATTAAAGAGTCAGTGTCTACATAACAAATTCTACTACTGTACCACACTATTAAACAAAATAGGCAAAGAAATTATAATGAGGTGAGCTCTGGTAGCCTAGTGGCAAGAAGCTGCACTACAATCCCAGAAGTGCATGGCTGAAATGCACCAGATGCTCTGCTGAAGGAGGAACAATCGCCTCCTGTACCAGTCAGATCCGATTTGACGGTACACATAAAAAAACAAACAACCCCAAACAAAAAAAATAATAATAATAATAATAATAATAATAATAATAAAAAAAAATTATAATGAAGAAATAGCATCTAACAATGAATGAATAGAAATCCAAACTATCTGTAGATTTTCACTAAAAGAAAAAAAATAGCATCTAGCAGTAATTTTAGAAAATTACTAAAATATATTTAAGTTGTCATCTCCTCCATGGGTCCACTGAAGGAGTCTTCTGTTCCTTCCAGATGTGTTGGCGATAACGGATCTTCACTTTTCACCTTAAAAAAAATAAAAGGAAAAATAAAAAAGGTTTAAGTTAATGATCAAATGACATCTAAAATTTAATAACTCATACACAAAATGATAAGTTATGTAAAATGTGTTAACATCGAAGACTACAAAGAGAGTAAATTAAACCTTTCTAACTACCCCCCACCCCGTCTCCCTAGGTGGGCATGATCTAACTTCTTTTAAATAGTATAAATATAACAGCTTTTTGGAAGGAAATCTACTAAGCTATTAAATTGCCAAAAAAACCACCCAAACATTGAATTAACCTCAAAAGCACAAACACTTAAAAAATACAAAAAACTTAAAAGTAAAAAACAAACAAAAAAACCACAAACAAAACAACAAAAAACCCAAAACGCTAAGAACATTAAATTTCTATGCAACTAAAAGGTCTCAATTTTTTTCTAGACATCCCTGTATAAATAACTGAAGAAGTATTTTCTGGAGGCTTCATATATCCCTTTTAATGTCAAGACTAAACTTGATTAAAATGTTATTTTCCAAACAGTTACAGGAAAAGAAAACCCTCAAAAAATTAAAATAATAGAAAAACTCCGACCAAAATGATTACAGAACAAGATAAAGCATTTTACCCAAGCTTTATAGGCATTGCTACTTAACATTAGTACACATTACTCCTAAAAACATTTTGGAAGACTTTTTATTTAATTTTTACTTTTGAAAAATATATAACTGTTAGGTATTAGTTTTCCTATTAGGACTAAATGTGATAAAAATATGATTTTCAGGGGAGCTCTGGTGGCCTAGTGGCAAGGAGTTGCAACTACAATCCCAGAGGCGCACGGTTCGCATCCACCAGATGCTCTGCTGGGGAAGGAGGGACAATCTCCTCCTGTACCAGTCAGATCTAATTTGACAGTACACTCACACAAAAATAATAAAATTTAAAAAAAATGTTTAAAAAAAAAAACAACACAAACCCCCCCCCCATGATTTTCAACAAGATCACAGAATAAGACAAAGCATTTTAGTCCAGCTTTATGGCACTGCTATTTAATATTACTATACACTGTCCTAATAATACTTTGTTAAGACTTTTTTTTTTTTGTTAAGACTTTTAAAATTTAATTTTTACTTTGGAAAAAAAATATAACCCTTAAGTATCACTTTTCTTTTCCTATGGGACTAAACTTAAGAAAAACATTATTTAAAATGATCACAGAACCACCTAAAGGATTTTAGCTCTTAACTTTTGCTTTTGAAAAAAAAAAAAATAAAATAACCCTTAGACAGATTTAAAATAGTCCTTCCCCAGAAACAGTACACCCAATGGGCAGTTTTCCTACCTTCCACCCCCCCCCCCATTACTCACCTGCAAGAAAGCACCTTCTTATCACTGGTTTTTAGTGTGCTTCAGGATATGAGACCGCAGTTTTGCCACCTCAGGAAACTTCTTGTCACAGTCATTGAAGGGACACACGAAGGGTTTGTTGCCAGTATGGATTCTTGTATGTGCCAGCAGCTTGTACTGCACAGAGAAGCGCTTCCCACAGCCCTCAAAGGCACACTGGAAATTCCTTTCACCTGTATGAATGAGCTGGTGCCTCTTCAGTTTGGAACTTTCCAGAAAAGCTTTGCCACATTCACTGCAACTGTGTGCCCGAGGGCCATGAGTGCGAAGGTGCTTTCTCACAGCATCTTTATCCTGAAACATCTTAAGACAGCCTTTAAAAGGGCAAGGTAGTGTTCGTGGGGTGTTGTCTCCCCGGCGTTTCACTCGAGTAAACTCTTCTAACTGCTGGGGGTTAGACAAGTCTACTCCAGGAAGCCCTCCAGGCGGTAACTTTTTACCAGTCAAATACTCAGAATAATCAGGAGGGGAGTTCATCACACTCAAATCGCCTGCTGATGGACCAGCTTCACTAGGTCCTGGTTCAGAGTCCTTTGCAGACAGCACTGGGACAAAACATTTCCTTTTTAAAGTCTTTCCTTGAACTTCCCTTTGATCCCAGGCCTCACCTACCTCATCAATGATCAAAGTGGGGCTGTTGCTTCTGCTGCTAGGGCTGCTGCCACCATTCGGGCCAGTGTCACAGGAGCTGACCCCATCCTGGTCGACCCTGGCTCCCGGAGGGCTTCTATTACCTCCCACGACTAAGTTACTGCCAGTACAGCCACCACCTCCACTCACACTAGCCCCCTTCAAGCCTCTGCTCCCGGGTTTCCTCTTACCGGCTTGGCTGGAGGTACTGGGGAGAGGACTTCTGTCACGGCTGCTCTCAGGTGTTGCAGAGGTGGAGGCAGTGGGGGCTGCTTCAAGGGTCTGACTGTTGACTTCTTCAGCTCCAGGGTCGTCTTCGACTGCTGGCTGAATATCTGAGTTAGCCGCAACCTCCTGGTTGACCGGAACCTCTCTATTGCTGAGAGGCTCAAGTATTACCACTGAAGCATTAGGATGTTCTTCCTGGACCCAAGATCCAGTGGGATCTTGATAAGCGAATTTTTTCACCGGGATGGTGGTCACGGTTAAAGAACATCCAGGCGGTGTCACGACACTGATCGTCTGCAGCTTCACAATCTCTGGGGCCACCTGTGAGTATTCAAAAGCGACCCGAAAAGTCTCTGCTTGAGACATAGTTGAAGCTTGAGGAACTGTGCTGCGTTCTCAGACCAGACGGCAAGAGAATGAGAAGGCTCCTCCTTTGCGCAGGGCTTCAGGACTACAGAAATGCCCGGAAGGGGTTGCCTTTGAATGAAAAAAAGCTTTACCTGCCCTAGAGGGGTGGGGGAAGTTGCACGAGGAGGCACAAATGTAAATGAAGTTGAGCCGTTCCAACTACTATTAGCACAAATACTTTTTGCTATTAACTGAATCTCATGGCCTTTTTGTTATTTCATGGGTTTTCTGGATTTTTAAAGCATATATAACCGGTTTCTACAAACAAAACCGCCCATTCTTTCTGTTTATACTTTTCTATCCTCTATTTATTTCAACTGATGCATATTTAGAGACTAACATGTATTAATATCAGAGGAAGATTACAGTGGCCTTGCTTGTGTTAATATATGCTTGCCTGATAAAGTTTCCCCCTAATGGTAAAAATTAGGAGCTTGTCCCTAGGGAAATGCACTGCTAAGCTGACCCCTGTCTTCAGTGGTTCAAAACCACTAACGGCTCTGCATTAGAAAGATGGAAATCGGGTGGGGGGGGTCAGCCATGAGGTGGTTTGGGGACTACTACAAAGAATATGCCAATATGGGGAGCCTATATGATTTAACACTCTATC